AGAGAGAGAGAGAGAGAGAGAGAGAGAGAGAGAGAGAGAGAGAGAGAGAGAGAGACCATTGCCTCCCTCCAGGTGCCACCTCGATCGTTCTCCTCCTCCTCCTCCTCTTCTTCTTCTCCTTCTTCTTTTTCTTCTTAGACGACTTCTTCTTTTTCTCCTTATCGTCCACCTCCTCGCCATCCTCCACCTTCTCCTCCCCCTTTTCTTCTTCTTGTTATCGGCTAACTTGTCGTCATTGTCCCGCCCTGCCCCCTTTCCTCGCTGCCCCCCCCAAAATGAACAACAATAAAAAATACGGAAGACCCCGGATTTGGGCCCCTTAGGCAGGGCGCAGAACGGTCATAAGGCGGATAAGGCCACAGGAAAAAAAACAAACAAACATTTTACTGTGTTTTTTCACACGCCCAGCTGACCCGGGCCCGGGACCATCCCGGGCCCACGCCCCGGTGCATGGTCGGGCTGGCCGGGCGTGAAAATCTTCGTAGCTCAAAAATTCAAGATTCAAATTTTCACTTTTTCCTTTTTTCCCGAAATTGCACTTTTATTAACAGAGTTACATTCTTTTTTTTTCACTTAAAAAAAAAAAAAACCGTTCGTATTCACTATTCAATAAATGCTGGGAAATGGGCCCAGCAACGGGCCAGCGTCCCTTACATCCTACCGCGGTCGGTGGGCTGAGCAAGGCACCCTGGCCCAGGAGATCCCTGACTGCAGTATAGCAAGTAAATCAATCAACACCAGTACTTGGCCCAGCTATCAAGTCCGAGCCTTGGCTGACCGGTATGCCGACCAATGCCGAGGCGGGGGCTACCGGGCGTTCACTTCCCGGACGTGTGGCTGAAAGAGAAGAGTTAAAAACGGAGAAAAATAGGGAAAAAAACCGACATCTGAATTATCAAAATGAAGAATGGAAAAATAAAATGAAAGAAAAATGAGAAAAAGGAAAAGTAAAACCAAGGAAAAAAAAAAACGGTTGTGCTTTTCGTTCCCGCGCAGGAGAGAGAGAGAGAGAGAGAGAGAGAGAGAGAGAGAGAGAGAGAGAGAGAGAGAGCAATTGCAGGTGTGAAATGAATCACCCTGGGATCTGTGAGAAGATTCATGCTGGTTTGTTAGAGTTCCAAGTTTGTACCGGCGCGGCAAACTCGCTGTCTCTCTCTCTCTCTCTCTCTCTCTCTCTCTCTCTCTCTCTCTCTCTCTCTCTCTCTCTCTCTCGCTTCCTTGCTGGCTCGCTCTTGTTTCCAACCCTGCGCGAAATTGGAAAGCTGGAAAACCAAGATGAATCTTCCCGCCAGATCCCGGGAAGATTCGTGCTGGTTTTGCAGTTTTCCAATTTCGTGCCGGATTGGAAACGACTGCGCGCGCGTGTGTGTGTGTGTGTGTGTGTGTGTGAGAGAGAGAGAGAGAGAGAGAGAGAGAGAGAGAGAGAGAGAGGAGAGAGAGAGGCGGCGATCCGCCTCTCTCTCTCTCTCTCTCTCTCTCTCTCTCTCTCTCTCTCTCTCGAACGTGCAAATGGGAATGAATCCTCCCGCTTTAGTGGGAAGATTCATTCCCATGAAAGCTCTCTCTCTCTCTCTCTCTCTCTCTCTCTCTCTCTCTCTCTCTCGTGTAAGTGTGCCATTGTCGAGAACCGTTTTTTTTTTCAGTTTTCTTATTTGTTTTTCTTTTTTCTTTTGAATTTGCGAGTGTCATCCCGAAAGTTGTCGAGCCTGGCCTTTGCTGAACTACCGGGTGCTGCTCTCAGCCGACCTCTTGAGGCTGCAACGCGTTAACGGGCAAGCCTGCGGCCAATAGCTGGGCCAAGTGCTGGTGGTTTAAAAACGAAACCAGAAATGCCCATCCAGATTCGGGAGAAAATCTATCAGAGTTGCATTCTTTGTTGGTTGATAGGATCAGAACGTTATAAGAGCTTATTAAAAATAAGGGGTAACTTCATTAGAGTCACAAAAACGAGTTGTAATTGCACTATGGGGCAAGATACAGTCTGCAATTGCACTTCGACATCTACCTAGCCAGAAAGGTGGGTTGTATACAATGTCCGGACTGCAATTTGAAACTGCACCTTGGCCCGTAGTTTCTCATTTTTGTTACACCTCCTTAGTTGCCCCTTAAAAAAAAGAATGCTTACAGGACCCATAAAGCTTATTAAAAAAAAGAATGCTTACAAGAGCTATCTTCCGTTTTCCTGTTTTGCTGTTGTTAAATGACAAAAATGACCTTGTCAACATGCCCTGCTTACAAGAGCTATCTTCCGGATGGGTAGGCGTTAACCGACAAGCTTCTGGCGGAGGATTGTCGAAATCGCACGCGCGTGGCTCAGAGACTCGTAACGTGTTGATTCACTGAAAATCCGGGCTGCTAACAGACAATTTACTGCGGCGCTTGGATCCCATAAATCGACAGGCGACATTGACTACGGTATTACGACAAATCTGGGGGAAAGGGGGAAAATTGGGACCTTGAAACACGTTTTTCGATGTATCAGTCCCAAAGGAGGAACGGATGACGTCGATGTGCAATGCAGACAACGAAACCGGAGGGCGCGAAACGACACACCTGACGGGAGGAAATTGGAACGGAAGGCTTTGGTACCGTCTGAATGTAGACATGCTCGAAGGCCAGGGAGTGGTGTGTACCTGGCTGAATAATACTAGTAGGCTTATTATGGATCTACCTGGACCAAATCATGGCCAAGGGGGTTTCTTTCCGACCACGTAGTGGCCACTTTTCTGAGAGAATTAACCTAGGCAGTATTAGGAGAGCCGTTCAGAAAGGGCTAGAGTCTGGATACTTCGTTCAAGCCGGGCTATAGTCCTGAGTAGCATGTGGAACGAAGGAAGCAGCAGAAGGAGTAGTATAAATAAGGTAATAGTAGGAGTGTTTGCCTCAACTTGAGTGACGTATGAGTATAAGGGTTGAGTTACCCTGATGGTGTTGGATCAGGGTGGGTGGGGAAGGAGTTGGTGACGTCATGATACTAAAACTCACATCATCTTCTTCTTCGTAAAGATTATTATGTTTTGAAATCTGATATCGTACAACCTCGGGTTCGACCTTGCCGTGGCTTGGGAACGAGCCCGGGGCGCCGACTCTCGTTTGCGACTTCGTCACGAGATCGTGCACTGGTGTTTTTTCGCATTTTTTCGCATTCTTATATTACACCTTTTCACTTTCGTATTTCACATGTCGTATTTCTGATTTCGTATTTCAATTTCATATCTCCATACTTTTCATGCTTTCATATTCTCATATTGGTATGTTCAGTGTCATATCTATTCGGTGGGTTGCTTCGTACGACTCGCGTCACCAACTTAGTTCGGTTCGATCGGTGGTTCTGTTGATTACTTGATGTCGAGTGATGTGGCTTTCCTTTCAGCATCTGCGCCGGGGGAGTTTTTACGTAGCCGATAGGCTACTAGGCTTCCTCAAGGGGTAGCGTGCGCTCGGTAGCGAAGGGACGACGCAAGCAGGCGACCAAGTGAAGATCGGACTGTACCAGCAATAAAGACGAACAATTGAAGATAAGTGCTCCCTCGACATCGTATGAAGTGCGGAGTGCGCTGCACTAGGGTCGCCGTGTGCAATTGCTGAACGGATTACCACACAAAGGGTGATTATCACCAGCGCTGGTAGATTGGATGCTTAGAGCGTCGAGCTGGGCCGTGGATACAAGGAGTAAGGACAGATAGGTAGCCGGGAGCGTTGGGATCGGGGGACTGCTACTGGTGTTGTCTTTGCTCAGACGCATGTACGGGCGAAGAAGCGGAAGGGCGGCGAGACGAGGACGCTGGTCCAACTGCGGACGCTACTGGACGAATATGAACGGCCAGGGAAACGGGCAGAGCAACCCTCCGCCACCAGGACTATATGGTGCAAGCATGCAGCAACCGAGTGGGATGAATCAAGCGGCACCTCCGAGTGCCGGCTCCGGGGCTAGTAACGCCGCCTACCAAGTGCAACAGCCGATCGGGCACTGGAATGCGCAGACATGACTGGGACCGTGGCAAGTTGTTGGACCATGGGTGATGCCACCTGCACAGCCTGCACCAGTGATGCAGACTGCTCCGAATGCGTAGCCGATAATGGTACAACCTCCAGTTATACCTCCACAAGTTATAGCTCCGCATGTCATAGCCCCACAAGCTATGCCGGCTGCTTTGCCCCCGACGAGTGGGCATGCGCATCAACAATCAAGCAATCAGCTAGGCCCGATCCAAAATGCTTTGTTAGGTGAAAACAGGTCGCAACGACCCTCTGCGAATGCTTTCCCTGGGCTTGGGAATCGTGCGTACTTTACCAAGGAATACATGAATCTGCTGGAGGAGATCAAGACTACCAAGGTGCTGGACGAAGCAAAGAAGAGGATTGTTGGCAATAGGCGAGGAGGAGGGATCCAAATCTCTGGTAACTCTGGTGAAAGCCACACTGGGCAAATACGAAGTACTGACAGAAGTGAGGAGATGAGAGCCTGGGTCTCATTTACCCTGGGCGATTCTCTAAAACTCATCACGAAGAAACTGGAGGAAGTCGATGCTAAGGCAAGTGTGGTTGCGGCGGAGAAGGAGGAGCTTGTGAAGCTCGGAGCAGAGAAAGCGGTCCTTGAAATGGCCATGCGTAACAAGGTGAAGGAATCCAGCAGTGAGAAGAGGAAGAGAGCTATGGCTGTACCTGTTGTATCTGCTGCTCCTGCCTCGCACGCGAGGATCACCCCCAAGAATAGTGCAGCGAATGCACGTTCGCGGAGCAGCTCGAAGTCGAGAACGCGTAGAGTGGAGATCTCATCTGATGAAGACGGCGACGAGGACGGGGTGAAGCAGAATCTGGCTCCGAAGCTGGAAAATAGCAGTGATTTATCGGAGGTTAAAAAACTGTTGTCCGAACTGGTCCAGGGATTGGCGGGACAGAAAGGGAAACAGTGTGCGGTCTCCCCTGAACCGGCACCCGAGCCAGATGTGCAGAACAAAGATGCGGAAGATGTGGACCTCACGCAGATGCCAATCAAGGAGGAAGATGCTGACTCGGATGAAGACGGACTCGCCTCATACATGAAAATGAGGCAGGACTTCTATATGTCCCTGCACTTCTCCCGTGTACAAGAGCTGTGCAAGCAGAGAGGTGTGCAATACGTTCGGAAAGACGCTAGATCATGGGAGTTGGCTCGATTGGACCTGCAGGAGTACGTGGATCAAATTAAGGACGTAGCTCCGAAAGCGGCTGCGGAGCCGTCCCGGAACCAAGACAACGAGAACCTGAAGGACGCGTATGAGAATGGGGCAGTTACCGGGAACTAGCAGATTGGTAGTCTCCGTTCCCTGAAGCGGGCAATTAGTAGGATTTCTAAGTTGAAGGAGAGGGGGGACAAGGGTCTGAGCTCCTTGCTTGACCAAGTACACACGCTGATTATTCTTTCTGACTGTCTACAGGGGTACATTGCCTGGGGGAAAGCATATGTGCGATTTTGGTTGCGTATGACCGCGGTAGAATGGGATCTCCTGCTGAAGGGGCGCTGTTGCGTGTATGTTGTCATGTCTTTGAGTCATAAGCTTGTCTATGTTGGAAAAACGATCAGGACTCTCAATGAGCGATGGCATGAGCACTGCCGCGCTGTAGTCGGTGGGAGTAGGCAGCGTGTGCATTCCTGGCTTAGGAAGATTGGTCTCCAGTATTTCGTGCCCATACCTATCTGGTTTGGTGAGCAGGCTGCTATAGAGGGAATAAAAACCAAAATTATCAAGAGTCATAACCCTGGTCTTAATTCCAAAGGGCGAGGCCGCAGAAGCAAGCCCCGCAGGAGCCGTGGTAAAAAAGGCGGTGCTGCCAACAGAGTCGTGCAATGTGATGTCAACGAACCCTTACTTTTTTGTTGTGAGGCTGTGAACGCCAGACAGGAACCTGATCTGCTTAGAATCCTTAAACTGCTGAAGAAGAATAAGAGAAAGGGCACTGTGCTAATTTCGAATAACGCCGGTAGTCAGTGGGTGAAAGCTTGGAGACTGGTAAAGTTACTGTTTGGTGCCTCGAAGATTGAGGTTAACGGGGATAAGTTACTCCTCAGTGAGGCTAAGGCCCACATTGAGCTTGGGGGTAGCTGGGTGGTTACTGCACTTTGCATGACCAAAACCAGGACTGAACAGGATAAAGCAAAATTAATATCTTTGCTCCGTGCTCCTTGGCAACGAAAGGATATGTACAAGCTCTCTCTTGATGAACTCATCGCGCTCAATAGTAGTGTGAAATCGGTGGGGCAAAAGGTGGGGAGACAAATCCTGCGAGGGATCCTGACGGGTGTGGGAAAGAATAAATTTAGCATTAATCTGAGGGGTAACATTACTGTGAAAATTTCGTTTTGCACCACAATAGACAATAGGAGAGTTGAAGTTGTAACTAAGGACTGGGTTAAGAAGAATGTATCTCCGACATCGCTTGCTAACTTGTATGCAGGAAGGACAAAGACTGCGTGGATGAAAGCCCGTTCAGTTGGAGACCTTTTGCATAACCAAAAATCCTTTGCACAAGCACGAGTTTTTGAATGTGCCTGTGCTGGATTTAACTTGCCCAAGAAAAATGGGCACGTAGCAGTTAAGCTGAGCGAGGTTGAGGATATTCACCCGTTCCTTTTTAATGCTAAAAATATTCCCTTCCCGGGGGCTGTGGCCAGCAAAGATATTGTCCGGCGAGCCTGCAATAATGCATTGGATGGATTGCAGACCACGGGTGTGGTTACTGGTGAAATGCGCACCGATTGGCGTGCTGTCGACCGCCATGGTGAACCTCGGCATGATGACTGCATCCTTAGTGAGTATGTTGCTGGGGTCGCACAATCGTTGGATGGGTTGGTTCCGTCCCCACTTGACCGGAACGCAAGTGAGACTTGGATTGAATGCCCTGTCTCATATGGGGAAGGATTGCGTAAGATGTACTTGGAAAATGAGAACTATGAATGTGTCACCGACGGGCCTGAGAAGGTTATTGAGAAATGCAAGAGGCGCTACCAAGAAGCTGGATTGGACAAAGTTGCAGCTTGGGATCGAAAAGGAGAGTTGCAGTTTGCACATGTGCTCTCTAAGGAGAAAGATAAAGCAAAAAAATGACCAATTGTCCCATCCTTCTCAAATCCTTTTCGCGCGACCTCTGGGGTCCTTTCAACTGCGTTAAATGGGTTAATCAGGCTTGTCAAAGTTCCACATTTTAACCTCTAGGCGATTGGTGAATTAAAGGATGATATTGGTAGAATCAATGAGCATGCAATTAAAAGCAGGTTAGATTTTGAAGCTCGTACATACGATATCAAGGAGATGTTTACACAGCTCCCGCATAGTGAAATTTGCAGTGCGGTGCAGTGGATCGTAGAGCTGTTTCGAAAAGAGGGAGTGAGATGGATTCGAGTAAATACCCGAAAAAGTCTGGCTAAGATCATGAAGTCACATGGTGAGGCAGGCTGAAGGTCGATAAGACTGAGCATGCTGATGATACTGACGAGTTTTCATCTTGCGAACACATATTTTCGAGTTAGTGGCTCAGTACTAAGGCAGCAACAGGGCATCCCGATGGGAGGCAGAGCCAGTCCTTCATTGGCCTGCGTCATGTGTATGTTTGCCGAGTACAAACTCTTGTGTTCACTCGACACTTATGCGAGATTTATCACCGAAAAACGGTACATCGATGACTTGCTCGTAGTATCATTCTTTAAGAAGAATGATCCTGCATCCGAACGCAAGGCCAGAGAGCGATTCGACTAAGTGATGAAGTGCTACCCTGACGAGCTATTACTCGAAAGAACTGATACCGGACTGGGTATCCTTGATTTTCTAGAAATAAGGTTGTTGGTTGGAGGGGAACCCAAGTTCATAACCATGTCGCATAAGTTTAAGAATGATGACTCAATCTAAGGTACTGAGGATCTCCAGTTCAAGACCTACAAGAACTTCAGATCGTTCGGCCCGCACAAAGCCAAATATGCCACGGTTGCTAACGCAATCCTTCGGATCTCCCGGAATTCGAAGAACAAGGGTGTCACGTTTTTCAATGTACTTACCTTGATCTAGGAACTACAAAAACTGGAGTACCCGGGCAAGGTTGTGATTGCTGGGTTGGAGTGGATGGGTGGGCGTGAACCGACAGACTTCTGGCAGAGGATTGTCGAAATCGCACGCGCGTGGCTCAGAGACTCGTAACGTGTTGATTCACTGAAAATCCGGGCTGCTAACAGAGAATTTACTGCGGCGCTCGGATCCCATAAATCGACAGGCGACATTGACTACGGTATTACGACAAATCTGGGGGAAAGGGAAAAAATTCGGACCTTGAAACACGTTATTCGATGTATCAGTCCCGAAGGAGGAACGAATGACGTCGATGTGCAATGCAGACAACGAAACCGGAGGGCGCGAACCGACGCACCTCACGGAAGGAAATTGGAATGAAAGGCTTTGGTACCGTCTGAATGTCGACATGCTCGAAGGCCAGGGAGTGGTGTGTACCTGGCTGAATAATACTAGTAGGCTTACTACGGATCTACCTGGACCAAATCATGGCCAAGGGGGTTTCTTTCTGACCACGTAGTGGCCACTTTTCTGAGAGAATTAACCTAGGCAGTATTAGGAGAGTCATTCAGAAAGGGCTAGAGTCTGGATACTTCGTTCAAGCCGGGCTATAGTCCCGAGTAGCATGTGGAACGAAGGAAGCAGCAGAACGAGTAGTATAAATAAGGTAATAGTAGGAGTGTTTGCCTCAACTTGAGTGACGTATGAGTATAAGGGTTGAGTTACCCTGATGGTGTTGGATCAGGGTGGGTGGAGAAGGAGTTGGTGACGTCATGATACTAAAACTAACATCATCTTCTTCTTCGTAAAGATTATTATGTTTTGAAATCTGAACATGCC